ATGTGTGTGTGTGTGTGTGTGAAAACTCCTATCAACTTAAGTGGATAGCAAATAGTGTGTCCACCAAAGTTTTTAACCACTCATATTGCCTAGGGATCCATGTATTATATAAAAAGATGTTTTATATTAATATATGTGTGGCTAGAAACTTTGGTGGACATCAACTTAAGTTGATAGGATATATATATAGAGTTTTATTCGGATGCGAAAAATTTTCGCACAGCAACGTGCGAAAAGTGGGAAAGCTTCCCCAGCGTGCGCTGCAGTACACTTGGCTTGCCCCGATTCGTCCAGGCTGTTGGGTTGAAAAAAGCCACGACATTTTTCACCGAGCCCCCTCCAAGACATCCTAAAAATCAAGCCCCGTAATCATTTTTCCTCCTCCTAAAAGCTTATTCCCAAACCAAATCCAGATCTCCCTCTGTTCCCCCCGCCCCCCCGCGCCTCCAAGACCATTCCTCCTTCCCAAAACAAAGGCTCCCCTAACCGGATCGGCCTCTGTCAGCCTCGCCCTTCCTTCTCCGTGAGCCTACTCCGGTGATCCCGATCTCTCTCTCTCTCAGGTAAGATCCCGATCTCTCTCTGGAATCTCGGTGTCTCTCTCTCTCTCTCTCTCTCTCTCTCTCTCTCGATCCCTCTCAGGTAAAATCTCGAGGGCATCATGTTTCCTTTGAATGTATCCGAGGAGTTAGTTCATTGGCCGGAGATGGATGTTCGTGAAAGGAGATGGGTTCAACGGCGTTACCTTTCATAGCAGAATAAACTACATATTGCCACATTCAACTGTTCTAATGAAAATTATTATACTTTTTATACATTCCACCTGATTTACTTAAAGCCATATGCATTCTATTCCACATATCATCATCGACAACTTCAAGAAAGCTTAAAGAAAATGTAACAATTTAATTTACAAAGTTTAATTTTTTCATAGTTCACTATTAAAATCTCGACGTGTCCCTAAAATTGAAGATCAAATCCCCCTTTGCTCAAGCATTGATTAGTTTAGTAATATTTAGTTTTGCGGGATCACATCATATGAGGTGTAGATATAGCTTTTAAATACTCATGAGTTTCTAAAGATTGTAAGTTCAATCTACAATATTTTTTCTGGTTGTAATTCAATCTTCTTTGTTGTATTAGGTTTTAATTATTTTCGCATTTTACACAACCATCAAAGTTTTTACAAATACTTTCGATTTATGAGTGAAATATATGATTTATTTTGTTAAAAAGTCTATGTATTAATTGTTACTTGTTTCTTGCTGTAGAGAAAAAGATTGATGAGCTTCACAAGAAGGCATGTGCATGCTGCATTCTGTAGTTCTGGATCTTGCAACACCTGTGCTTTTGATCAAGGAAAATTTATGTAATATATATTGTCACCTTTGTCTGATTGAAGATGTAATTGGGGACATGTTTTCTAAACTCAGAAAGTAATGATTTTCATGATCTCACATGTTCAAGGCACGCTTGGTGGATGCTTTTTATTGACATATTCATTTCTTGTCATGTTATTGTTTTTATTGACATATTCATTACCTACAAAAGTATATGCAAGACAAGAAAACAATATACATACAAAACAATACACAATACATACTACAACGATACATACTACAACAACACTTACTACAACGATACACAATCACATACTTTTTATATACTGTACATACTACAAAGATACATAATAAACAGGTGTCTGGACAAGCCTTGAGCAGGATGCTGAATCATGAGCGATGATGTGCTTATCCCATTCAATCAAAGTCTCTTCCTACGTTGCATACCCTTTATATGCGGCATTTGGGATTTTATAAAGAATCATGCCCACCTCTGAGGTACAGAACTATCGGATATCCAACACAAATCACAGTATCAGTCTACCAGAGAGTAGATATATTCTAAAAATAATGTGCATAATAGTAGTGATGCAGTAGGGCCTCCCCTAAAAAAAAGAAAATGCAGGTAAGCAAATGGAGTTCTCCAGAACCGTTTCAATCACAAAGATTCTTCACTGTAGCAAAACTTCGTGACTGGGGGAAGATAATAAATAAATACTACCGGACTCCTACGCCCAAGTTCCAACTAGCATCACCAAATGGTGTTTATCGCCTATCCAAATCCCATAGAATGCAAACCCATTTCAAAAATAAATCCACTGATCAAATGCTGCAATGCATTTCTAATCATATTCCAAATCCTCGCATGAGTGCTTGCGCACATGATCATCCGCAAGTAAGTGCTACATTACCCACAATGATTTCACCTCAAAGAAAATAACACATGAAAAAATCTGCATCATTTCAGCTCGTGATATACTTTAAACTAATACTAACAAGTTAATCGATATCCCAGATTGACAATTGCACCAAAAATGACAAGTTTAACCCAGAGATTATGAGCATTTAATTATATTTGAGAGACAATTAAGGTTCAAAATTAAGCGCTTCCAAATTCAAAGAAAACAAACTGTAGTTAATCTACGAGATAAGATTGAAAACTCACATCTAGATCACGACTGAGCTTCGCAATCGAACCTCCTGCGTGAAAAATGACTGCTATTAGGGCTTTTCAGAAATCGAAGTGCAAACACTAGAGTGATAAAAAAAAGCCCTAGTCCTAAACAAAATGGGATTAAATGCTCATGCTATGAAAGGTAACACATTTGAACCCATCTCCTTTCACGAACATCCATCTCCGGCCAATGAACTAACTCCTCGGATACATTCAAAGGAAACATGATGCCCCCGAGATTTTACCTGAGAGGGATCGAGAGAGGTCGAGAGAGAGAGAGAGAGAGAGAGAGAGAGAGAGAGAGAGAGAGAGAGAGATTGATAGCTGAGGATTTGCTAAAAATCCTAAAAGAAATCAAGTGCGCTTACTTCGCCGAAAATTTCTTCATTCAAAGTATTCCAGACCACACGCGAGCCGGTTTAGGTCTGACCGATCCGGTTAGGGGAGTGTAGACGGTAAAAAATACCTCTATAGGCTCACAGGAAATTCGCCTGCGAAAAGAGCTCGCACGCCCGGTTCTCTGGCACGGGCCTAAATCGCATGGACATCGCACATGCTCGATTCTAAGTTCGCCTTACGGTCGGCTCGCCAGCACGAGTTAAGATCGATTAGGATGGCGGAAGTTCGCCTTTCACTCAACTCGCCTGCCCGAGTCCAGAGTCGAATCCGCCAGCAAACCCCAAGACCGTCAGTACAGCTGGGTATCCACTACCCCACGTGCTGAGATGGACCTTCCCATCTCTCTCGACCCGAAGAGAGAGAGAGCGCGATACCCCAGGACCGTCAAACGGCCGCTCGCAGTACGCGCAGCACGAAAGCCTGGACAGGTGTCGAGTCAACCTGAGCATTCATAAATGCGACTCACCTCGGCTGTCTGAGCCAAGAGCTGGATCCGCCGGCACTCGGCAAGCTGGCTAGACCCACTCGAGTACTGTACACCTACTTCACCGCCTCTCCTGACCGGAAAGGAGAAAGCACCGTGCTCAAAGCACGCCGGGCGGTCACGCACAGTACAAGTGATCGGACAGACACTTCATCGATCTGCGAACTCATAAATGCGGTTCATTAATGCTGGTCAAATCCACTCGGATAGCAGTCGTTCGTTGCCTCACACACAAGAATGGGCCTTCCCATCGTAGGTGACAGGACATAGAGCACAATCCCTGGAATGACCGTTCATGGTATCGAGGAACGGCGAGACGTCTCTGAAGAGGATGTGGTCACATCCCACAATTCAAGGAGAAGTCGAGCTGTCCTTCTTTCATTTAAAAGCCCCTTCCAGCACAATGGAAGAGAGGGTCGCAAAAACTTGGAGAAAAAAAAGTTGAGACCAAGCTGTTAGCAAATCCTTGCATTACAGCACTGCTGCCTAGTTCCGAGCTCCGATCGCCGACGAACTAAGCAGACCCGAACTCCATTACCCCGAGCTTCTACTGCGAACTGAAGCTCTCCAGCAACCTCATTCAAACGGTCCAAGGGAAGCAGACTCGACCCGAGCATCGAGCGAAGCGTCCTATAGCCACCTAAAGTCCCCACACAAAACAAAGAGGGCCTTCCCTCTGCTTCTGTTGTAAACATTTGATTTGTTAGTTTGTAATAAGCTTTCTTATAAATACAAACGAAACTCCTTTCTTCGGAAGAATCAAATTTTCACCCTACAGAAGATGGCGACCACAGTGGGAGAATCCGTTCATTCAGATGAATTGGTGGTGGCGCAGTCCGACGAAGTTGCTGCAGGGACTACGGTTGAGTCCCTTGTGATCAAATTCGAGGGGTACTTACAATCGTCCTCTTCTGGCGGCAATACATCTCGCGATAACTGCATAGTCGTGCGGGTGGCCCAGCCCCAAGAGGCCGAGGCAACCAAGCCTGAGGGATCTACCCAAGCCGAGGCAGGGGGTTCTTTTCCCCCCGAACCAGTTGAGGCCGAGCCGAGATTCGAGAATGC